CTTTGATATCCAGCTCGATTACCATGGATTTGGTTTCGAAGTGTTTCCTTCTCATGATGGTTATCGAGTCTTTTAGCATCCAGCTTGTTGTATATTGAATGTTGGTAAGTTTCCTTCCCCTGCCTCCTGTTACACCACCAGTATGTCCAAGACTCAATTGTCCGATGCCGATTCTGTCAGGCACCAAGTTTTGCTAAACCAGCGTGGGCGCTGAATCACTCCTTTTTGCCTGGCGCCACCAGCCTTCTCCATTTGGCATCCTAAGCTCCCAAGGACTCAGCTTGTAAACCGCCAAACCAGAACAAAATAGCTGGGAAATGTAATGGTGGTTGAAGAACTGATGTTTGTGTTTCTATAGAATCTATACAGACAAGGAACAGACTCCAATCCTCAATAAAAATAAAAATAAAAATCCACTCATTCACACACAGTTTGTAGACAATCAATCGGCAGAACGTTACAGAAACCAGTGCTCACATCGCGCTGAAGGAGCCTTGTGTGACACTAAGAGCATTCCGAACTGTGCACGCAAAGAAGGCAAAATCACAGAAGGACAAACAAAGAGTGGACAGTTCATACATACTTGCTGGAGGAATGAGCAGGATCGTTTGCATCTGCTGGGCGGCGTTTGCGCAGTGCCATGGCAAACGCTTCAAGCTGAAGGCTGTGTGCCTTTGAGAAAGCGACAGAAAACAACAACAACAAAACAAAATTCCAGCCAAAAATGAAATCTATAGTGAGATTTATACTTTTCCAACTTCCCAAGTTAACTTGGAATGCGTTTGACAAGGGGAATGCGCCTGCTGAAAGAGAAGAGCAACCTTCCACATTAGGAAAGTTACAATCTCTGAACTTGTTGTCTATGCTTGCCAGTAATAAGCAGACGGACTGCTGCCCCCCAGAATAGATTGGGCTTTTTCTTTATTAATTGAAAAAAAAAAAAAAATCATGTTTGAACATATTTGAACTGCCGGATCAAAAACAGGTCGGCCTGTTGTGCCAAATCTACCACCTGGCAATCCGGACAGCACAGTGGCAAGCTACCAAAAGCCGATTTAAAGACCAGGCATGTGTTGCAGGATGTGGCCAAGTGGAAACCCTCGCCCGCATCTTTGTGCGATGCCCGGAGGTCCAGGCGTTCTGGGTGTGGTGGGCACAGGAAGTTGCAGAACGTCGAAGAAACGGATGACGCTGTGCTTCACCTGGGAACACTGATGAAGTTCAACAGACCAGAGTTTGGAAAGCTGATGGCGGAAGAGATGGTAAGAGCAGCAGTGCTTTAGGCCTTATGGATGCTGAGGAATGAGCAATGCAGTCAAGGTGCGACTCCGGCGCTGCAGGCATATCAAGAGCGGGCAATGGAGAACATCAGAATAGCCCTGATGGCTGACTTCCGGCCGTGTAAACGCATAGGGGAAGACAAGGTGAGTGGGTTTTGGGAGAGATGGAGTCCATACCCGCAGTTGTTGACTTGGGACCCCCACATGGGGCAGATGCAGTATGGCCCCGTCCTGCTGCGACATGTGCCCAGACCGGACACGGAGGAACAGCGGGCCTGATGCAGACAGGACCATGCGGCCACGAGTGGATGCTAGTTTGCACAGTACATAGTAAAGGTGTTGGAAAAGAAAAGGATATGTTTGCTAATGCACCAGATTAGGTTGGTCAGATAGGGGGAAGGATAGGTGTAGGTAGGAAATCAGAGTAGGCTAGGGAGGGAGGTTTAGTTTGTATAATAGCAAAAGTGGCGGGGGGGGGGGGGGGGGGGGGGG